TAAATATAATAAAGACGTTGTGGTTTTTTGTGTTTATTTTGACGATGATTGAACATGTATGGACAATAAAAATGGACTGTATAAGATAGTCGAGTACCGTTCTCCTTCATGCATAGCATGCTACTGAAATCTTGGAAGGGATGAGCTCGTGCGGCGAACCCTAAATCAGCGGCTGGAATAGCCAGGTTTCTTATTGAGTCGGCGCACTTCGCTCTCGGGTCTGACATATGATTATTATTACAAGACTATGAATATAACTTAACAACGATCATAACCGATTATGCACCGAGAGGTGACGATCACTTAACCATTATAAGATGCGTTTTACACGTTAAAAACGGAAACATATTCAGTATAAGAACGAATAATTCTGTTAATACAATTGTTATATACAAATTCGGATACTGGTCTTTATACAACAAATCTTCCCTACTATACAACTGGAATATAAAGTCTGTAACACCTAATAATGTATAAGTAATTCATTATAACCTTTATTTCATAGATGCATAAGGTGTATTAAGCACCTTCCAGTTAAACTGATTGAATAATGAATATGGAGATGATTGCTTTTTTTAAATAATAGTTGTATATTGGTTATAAAAGTTTTAATATGCGCTATACACATTATTCTAGATAAACAGTTTAATAAGCCCATTTCTTTCATTGTAGTTAGTAATGACTAATTACAGTCACTAAAATTTTGATATAAAGTTAATTAGAGTTTAAAATATTACTAAGAATGTATGCGTTGTCTATGAGACATCAATAAGTTTTGACGTAAGCCTACTTTGAGAAAAGTCACTTATTTCATACACCGTAATATTGTAAGAGTTCAATTGAAAGCCTTTTGTTTCGAAAACTGTTGACATTAGGAAGTTCTAACAAGAGTACATTATTTTTAGAAAATAAAATTATACTTCAGAAATTGGATCCCGAATGGTAAAAAATGTAACCTTAAAAAAATTGAAATTTAAAATGTAATAGGAATATAGCATAACTAGCGCCCACTATGAAATATACAAAAAATAATTAGACCAGCTTATTTGGCATCCTTAAAAACCCCGGAATACCAAATTTCATAAAAATATTTCGCACCGTTTCGAAATTTTCGAAAGAATTCTATTTAAAAAATTTTATTTTGGTGCTCTGTATCTCGAAAACAAGAGGAGATAGACATACAGTTCATAATAAAAAAAAATCTTATTTTTGTCATACTATCACCCCCTGTACTTATGGGGGGGTCTTTCTGAAACATATACATGTTTTACTTAGGGATACATCAGTGTTATTTGGGAATCATCAAAGTTTATGGATCAATGATCTTCGCCTATCACGAGATCATGAAATTGTTGTCCAAGCACTCGCTGGCCTACCTGAACGACCTTTTCCCTGCCGCTTGTGGGACCCAGTGGCGATTCTGCACAAAGTAAGGCACGCTGGGGATTTCCAGAACTGGGAATAAATTGGACAGGACGATGCAACTCGGTGTAAATTCATTTTCGCTAGGCCTTCGAGTTGTATGGGGAACTTAGAGATTCGCTCCGCGGTAATGGAAGTATTCTATCCGATTTGCAGTCCCCCAAGAATTCACATGTCGCTCCCGAAATCTCCGAAGATATGACATGTAAATTGCTTAGTTTGAACTCGGTTCACGAGTTTTCGACGGGGTTGGGGGCGCGTGCCGCCCCCGGATGCGATTTTACGGCCCTTTGTCATTCAAATTTCGAATTATTGTTAAAATTCGTTTTCGTTGACGCGGTCCCAACAGTCCTGTCAGCCGGAATATTCTTTCAGGTTTGTTCCAGGCGCGTGCGACGCAATAACGGGGAAATTAAACGGCAAATATGAGTCTACATTTCATTTTGATTAAATCAAGAAATAAAAACGGTGCTTCAACTCCTTTACCCTATTTGTACGATTTTAGTAGAAGTTGCGTTCCTTATTTCTTCAAACATGTTGTTCAGAACGTCTTTCTTAAAATAATGGAAATACAGGATGTAACTGAGTGGAATTTTTTTAAATTCAAAACTTCATTATTGTACCTTTTTTTTAGTAATTTTCATACCCCGCCGCTGGACAAGCTACTATAACCTCAAACAACGGCGCTCTTTAGTCGTAGCGCATGTATAATTGGGATCTGGGCTATGCATTGTTGTCAAATCTCATAATTTAAAAGAAAAGTTATCAAAAAACAAATTTCGACACCATTTATCGTGAGGAACTGCTCTTTGGCGCGTTGATTTTGTTTAGTGGGTGTTCGTCAGGAGCCCTATATCTCACAAAAATGAAAAAGTTATTCTTTTAAATTAAATTAAATACGGAACGGTATTTGACAAGTAATCTACATAAAAATAATTAAATAATCTGTTTATTCACCTGATTTTTACCGCATATGACATACTTGAAATCTTGTGGCTAATCTGCGAGTAGTGGTACCAGAATCCTCTTTCACGGCGTTTAAAGTTTCTCATTCCCTGAGTTTGTCTATATCCATGTATTGGCGTACAAAGCTCCCGTAATTTCTTAAATGTTGAACTAAAAAACATTTTCTTATTCGGTACTTATAAGTCGGGATAATCTATTTGATATCGTCTTCTTTGCTCCTGACAAAAAATAAGTTCTAACCATATCAGCTCTTTCTTGATTCGTATACTAGAATAAATTTGTAACCAAATGCGGCATTGCAACAGGACTGCGATGGCTAACCTCCGTTGCCTCTCGGAAGCCTTCGGAACATGATGGAATTCTGCTTAAATTTAAATTGTTCACGGTTTAATTATGTTTATGTTTTATTTATTTTAAATAATATATTTGTTTTATCTGTGACATACTGATGAGAACAAATAAGTATATGTACGCTGGTTCTGCTGACGAATGATCCAAGCTGTTTACAAGGCATTGCCAGTATAATTATTTCGTCTGGTAACGACACAACAGGTAGCAGTATCTACTCATAACTGTAGCACTTTTTTATGTCTCATCCATATGTCTGTCTCACTGAAAAAAAATTACAAATTTTAAATAACCCCCTATCAGTCATTTTGAGAACGAAAACAGGCAATGTTTTTTGAAATGCTAATTATCAAATTAAAAATACTACAAATATGTGATTACAAACAATGTTTTGTTGTTGATCTAGATATTTTTCAGTTCGAAAACTCAATTCTGTTAGCTGTAATTATAGATATTCGATTAAACCCACACAGACCAGCTTAACAAAACTATTCATTGATTGGGTAAAGTATGTATGACCATTATGATGTTATCAGTTTTACAAAAAATATGGAGAAGTTAGTCAATACCTCCACAACAAAGAGAAAATAATGGTTCTATTTATGTTCTAATCGAAGTGAGGATGTTTTTATATCCGAACTGATAAATATAATCTAGGGCATATGAAATATTTGGAAATATCTAGGACATTGTGATATAGTCGTATTATCATTTATAGATAGTCATTGAAGAGTAAATATGATATAAAAAGGTTTTATTTATACATAATCTACACCACAGCATAATCAGATTTGAATTCTCCTTTCAACTGTTTTAAAATGCATCAGCACATTTTCTAAAATTCATAATTTTCTAGAATTTTTGTTATATTTTTCAAAAATTGTATTAGATTTGTAATTAAGTAAATACTAATTAAATCTTCAAATGTCATAGATTTTGTGCGGAAATTTCTATATATAGCGTTTGCTGCTATGTTATTGTTGAGAATGTTAAAAAGCTTCTGTAAATATTTACAAATTAAAAAAAATGCGCATTGAAAAGTATGTAGGCACTACATATTATCAAAGTTAGCAAAATAAGAAGAACTCCTCCATTTTGTGCAGAAATCTGTCCCTATTGTAATGATGTAGAGAATGTATTTTGGTATAATACTAAAACAAACATGCCACGATATTGTGTTTCTATTTAAAATTCTTTATAGTATAGACATTTTACAAAATATATTGAGACATATAAAAAAAGATTGCACTAATTTTCTCATAATATACATGTGTGTTGTCTTTACAACATTGATTGGTGTAATCATTTCGTATTTAATAAAGTTTATTTGTAGTTATTTGTGGTATATATCAGTTAAAACTGATAACTTCTTATTGTTATAAATATTCGCAAATATTTTGCATCTAACAAGTACCAATAAATAAGAAATCTGAACAGTGTCACAAACATCCCAGTTTTTCAAGAAAATCCCGTTCATGTAATCTTTTTTGTACAAAATTATTCATAACCAGTATGTTACCACGCACAGCACATAAGACGCCTTCATAAATATGAGAATTAAAGCTTTTACTGCGTATGTCTTCAAGGATAGATCGATCCCGAAATTTAAAAATTTCCATAATGAATTTTAAGTAAAAATCAAAACGTGGCGAAAACTGTTGTATTTCCATAACGTAACAAGACGAATATACGTTTTATATATAAATTATATTTTTATAAACATTTTTTTCATGTAGTACTGGCCTTTTCGATCCTAGCTACCACTGTGAGCCATTTTACGGACTCTGGTCGCCCTCTTCCCAGATTTTTGTCGGCTTACACCGCTTACACCCCTGTAGAATCGTTCAATTACAAACCAACTTCAAAGAGGGACCTACCATATCAAATATTGATACTCAAAACTATGTCACTTGGCAAATATTTGCTGCCTTGGTGATGATAGGACCAACGATTTGCTTCCAATGTAAACCCAGTTTGAGCTGGGTAACCGCGGCAATTAGCTAGTGCAAATAAAACTGTCATCTTTACTAGATATTAGTTTCGGGAAATGAGTATGTGCGTTATACGCTTACGCTGCTAATTTTCTTTAGCTTTGAGACCACCCGCTAGAAGTTTGCGTTGATTCTAACGTCATCACCGAAGTTATAATCAATGTTTGAGCTCTGAAAGATGTTACTCAAATGTATATGCAATGTATTCTACGTTACTTTATATGTCTTTAGTTTTTCTAAGCACATGTCAGTAATAATCCTCATTTGTTACAGTACGAGCCCCTCCGAGGAATATCGGGATTCAACGGTCTCCAACACGTCGTCCTCTACGAATGCCAAGACAACCCCGAGGTGGAAAAACTAGCCGACACCACTGGCCGTCAGTGTTACGAGACCCACACCCAACCTTTATCCTGCAACACCGTGGTAGCCAGCTGGGCCAAAGGTTCCGAAGGCTTCAGCTTCCCTCCAGAAGCTGGTTACCCCTTGGACTCCCAGAACTCCAGGTACTATCTGATGGAGACCCACTACATCAGTCCGTTAGACGGAAGCCACAGTGTTCTGGACGGTTCTGGGTTGCGTCTGTTCTACACTCCGGAACTTAGAAGGCACGACGCCGGCGTCATCTCCATAGGCATGGACCCGAACTGGAGGCACATCATTCCTCCGGGTCAGCAGAAGGTGGTTTCCTCTGGACATTGCGTGGCGGAATGTACTAGACAAGCTTTACCTCGTAGTGGCATAAATATGTTCGCGATAGTCATGAAGACGCATAAGATTGGGAAGCAAGTGGCGCTGAAGCATATTCGCGGTAACGTAGAGCAGGCACCCATCGCCAGCGACGATAACGTGGATTCGGACTATCAGGAATATCGCAAACTCGGGGTTCCGGTGAAAATTTTGCCTGGTGATCATCTGATAGCTCAGTGCACGTATAACAGTTCGGGTAGAAGTGCTATAACGCTCGGAGGGCTGACGAGCCGCGAGGAGACTTGTTTGGTGATGGGACTGTACTACCCCAGGCAGAAATCTTTGGCTGTGTGCCACAGTTTGCCTAGCTTGCCCACGGTTTTGCACTCTTTGGGGATCCAGGAACTCACGGGGTATGTACCTTTTTTAAATTAAACATTTTTTAATACCTACCAACTTTTTTATTTTTTCTTTACTTCGAAGATATTGGGCTAATTCAATTCCAATATACAGGGTGTCCGGTAAGTACCTCCTAATCTCTCGGGAGTATATAGGGGAGGTCAAAATAAAACTAGTCCTTCCTATAATTTTTCTTCCTAATGTGCCCCCTAACGGAGTTATGGGGGGTCAAAGGGGTACCTAGAAATTAACGTTTAGGGTTATAACTTTGAAACCACCCTGTATATTTTAATAAAATTTTCGTACGTTGTATTACACATGGAGCTCTACGATTTGATGCTAAAATCAACTTTTTGCTATTATCAGGTGTCCAGAAACGGACTGGCCCTATCACAATTTTTCTCAAAATTTTGACAGAAGTAATTTTATCAAACTGAAAATATTATTATTAGATACTCTGAAGGTTTTTCTTTAAAAATGGTACTCTTTATTTATTTCGAAAAAATGAACGGTTTGCGAGATAAATCGGTTTTGAAAAAAATTGGTAACAAATACAACAACAATTAAAATTTATTTTTTT